TACCAATACAGGGTTTTCTATTATCATCTATTATTATCATCATTTTTGTAAATATGAATGGCGTGTGACCATGAACAAAATCTATTTTTATATGGAAGAAAATGCGCAACACCCTCGACAAAAAAAAAAACATGACAAAAATCAACGGTATTTTGTAGCGACTTCAAACTTGCAATTCATTGAACTATACATCTGCGTACCCAAGAAAATTCTAAAAATTCTGAATAAAAAGTGTGAAATTTAGATGAAAAATTAATTTTTTTTTAATATTACAAAGTTAGAAACTTCTCAGTTTCATGGATTTTGTTGTAGTATGAACTATATTTTTATAAAGAAATTAATAAAATTTAAATAAACCAAAATATGTATATTCAAAATATGGAAAAAATTTACTCTACGATTTTGATTCAAACCCACAGTAAGTGCAATTTATAAAAGTGGTCTTGTTTTCTTTAATTTAGGTATTTGCAAACGGTCCATAAAAAATTCATGTTTATATGGCCTGTGTTTGCATTACGAGAAAAATGCGCACATGCCCGACAACAGCACTAGAGGTAGTTCTTCAGTCCGAATCACTACATTTCACAGCGTATTGTTTTTAACTTTGCAGACAGATGGTTATGGCAAGTGTAAAATCCTATCGTCCAGGAATATGAAGAAACTAGGATCCCAGCTCCCGCGCTTTTCCTCAGAGAATACATAAATAAGGTATTTTTTTTAAACAAATTCAAAATAGAGCTTTGCAGCAAGGGGACCTGGAGCAATTTCATTATGGAGGGGCATGTACAGGCCAATACCATGCATTGGCACACCGACGGCTCCACAATACCAGAAGGCATTATGGCAGGCATTTATCGTCCCAGGATGAGGCTAGCCGTGCTCATGGGCGAATACCCGAGCATCTTCTAAGCGGAAGTCCACGCCATCAATCGACGTACACACATTAATTTACGTAGAGGTTACCGTAATGAAATAACTCTAATTCTTAGCGACATTCAGGTGAAACTTAAAGCACTTTGAGCCTTCGAGGTTAAATCAACTTTAGTCCTTCTTCAATACAATAACGTACCGCTATCATAGATACCAGGCCACAAGGATATACGGGGGATTGAGATAGCGGAAGGCTTATCTAGAATAGCGGCGGCCCCAGCTTCAATAGGTCCTGAGCCTTGCAGTAGGCCCAACACAATTAGAGAAGAGTTTAGGAAAAGAACAAGAAGTAGGAGAGGAACACTGGTAATGCCCAAAAACTTCCTGGGAGAGGTACAATCTAAAATGATACGTACTTTTTATTCATCTTTTCCCTTCTAATCATTACAGGCATCCTCTCAGGGCACAGAAGGCTAAGAGGACATCTGTATAAGTTGGCAATTCGGTCGAATGAACTGTGTCATTTCTGCGATTCAACTAAGGAGACACCTGCTCCTAGAATGTGATGCCGTAGCAAGGCGACGAATGAACAGCATAAGCTCCATGTGCCCAGAGAGAGAGCACATACACTCCTTTAAATATGTGTTGTGATGCATACCTCTTCAGCAGCGTAGGGCAGAGAGAGCTTTTACTCTGCTCGCCTCTATACAAAATGTTTAGAAAGCTTAAAAGAGCTTTACCCGCGGGCAAGGCAGTGCCCATCTGTGTTCTTCAGTTATCTATGTGAAGGAATGCTTGTCTTGTCCCTTTACAATTTAGGCGAAATTGTTAATTTTTAAAATAATATGATTAGTTTTTGAAAATCTGACAACTGGTTCAAAACATATCATTAGTTTTGTAGTGGATAGTTTTATTCGGGGTAGTACTTCTATGAAATTTACTTTACAAAATTTTACATAATGTATCGATGAGGAAATGTAGGAACGCCCAATTTTTGAATTTTTAAGTAACTTAAAAGCTCACGATTTTATCTCAAAAGCAATGTAAATTATCAGTTAGGGCCCCCTACATTCCAAAAACATAAATATCTATTCATTAAAATTCTAATAACTCTTGAGTTGCAATCAATGTGTTGCTATTTCTCACTATCTTCATACATATCGCCCATTTACTAAAAGACTGTCACAACTCAAAAGTATACGATAACAATTAATTTTGCATAATTAGTTCAAAAATTATGTTTTTTGAGTTATGACAGTCTTTTAAAAACTTAGCGATATGTACATTCCTGTTCAAGTGAAAATCCATGTAATATTAAAAAATATATACATATATTAATGAAATTAATTACAGCTTTCCGCTACAAGTAGCCAATTCAGCGCGTAAATTCATTCATAAAATGCCTTGAAGCTTTCCAAAACCGGTGTCGGCTAGCATGAAGTTACATACATGCTTATACCTACATACCTACTATGTAATATAAATAACTCGCTGACGAACCGGCTCGTAAATGCCACAAACTAACAACCGTTGCAAAAGAAATTAAATAAATTACATATTCATACATATTTATGCGCGATTTTACACGCACATACATAATATAGAGGGTGTTCCAAATTAGGTGAATAACTTTTCACAGTGTATAAGTATATAACTAGAAAGGAGAAGTCGCCACATAACTACATTCGAAGTTGGGAAATCACTGAACTAGCAAGACTACACTTTGGCTCCCTATTTAGAAATTGAGATCGCCTTCAGCAACATCTAACCAGAAGCCTATGTGGAATGATATCGCCACCAAGCTGTCGTCAGTATTCTTTAAGCACTCGAAGACTTTGGCGGTAAAGGTTTGTATTCAGGCAGGCACCTCCCAACATTCACTGATTGATCTTTGTAACAAGGTCGCTCTAAAAACTAGCATACTGGTCTAAGTAGTATGCAATTTAGTGCCCAATGGAAATCCGACATTAAAGTGAGTCTATTCAAACTTCAATGTTGGAAGACCCTTTAAAAGAATATGCATGTACATACTTTCTTTTGGGGGTTTATGCAGTAGGTTCTGTTTAGTGGATCATAGCAATAACGAGTGTGAATTTACGGCCCCACTCACGTCCAGCAACCAGTTAGTATACGGCGATGCGGCGTGATGCCTTTCATATGAATACAAATATTTTCCTGAAGGTGATTACAATTAGGTTTAATTTACAAGAAATAAATACTTCTTTAGGATCAACCACTGAAGACATCAGAAATTGATCTTGGCTTCGATATAGTTAGTTCATCCTTTCACTTATGCTGCATTTCCAATAGGCATTAAATGACTCAATTATGAATGAAAATGTTGAGCATTAAGAAATACCTGTGCACTGCATTCATAAAGATAGTCGTTGTATCCGTTTCCAAGTAGCGTTTTTTAAACGGCCTTTTTTCGATGTAAGTTTTTTGTCATTTCAATGCCTTGTAGAAATTCGGCATTACATAGATATACCTATTCTAAGCATATTAATGACTACCTCTCGTTCATGTTTCCGGCTTATAAACAAAGAGGGCAGACATGATTAGAGATTTTTGGGTAAAGTAATTTTTTTTTTTCATCAAAAGCTCCCTTGTCAATCTGCATACATTATAAACTTATGTACTTACGGCTGTTTCAAAAGTTGTGACTAAAAGCATGTACAAAGTATTAACGGTCCGTTTATGCGAAAACATTTATTTATGTATGTTCTAGAGCTGTCAAACTATCGATAGTGGGGCCAATCGAAAGTTTGAGATAGTTTGGCCGCACTATCGATACTATCGCTACTATCGAATTTTTTTTTTATTAGTATATATTAAGCATATCTTCTTTTATTTCTATAAGTGTCCAGTAATCAATACCGCTACTATGGTTGTCGAGGTCGAGGTCGATGTCGATGTAATTTTTTCATCAAAAAAATAGCCCTCGTAAGTTCAACTCTAGCTACGCTTACCACAGGAAGAACTCCTTTCCTCAAAAATACTGTGGTCAGCGTAGCTGGTGTTGGACCTACGAGGGCTATTTTTTGTTGAAAAAATGACATCGGCGTCGAAAACAATATAAAGGCCGAATATTATTTTCAAAAACTAAAAACAAATTTTTATTATTTTACCAAGAAACTTAGTTTTAAACTTGTGTAATTATGTATGTATGTAAACATATCATAAGAAATCCATTTTTGTTATATAACATAAAATAACCAATGATTCAAACACGAAAAATGTTTGACAAATTTAAAGCTGGATTTCTTTTATGAAGGGATCAGTTCAATAGTTATAACTTTTAAACATTAAATTGCATATTTTAAAAATATCAATAGCCATTCGGTTTTGCCAAGATTTAGGGCTGTTTTCCAAAATGAACTAAAACTATAAATTGACATATTTTCACGCAAAACTTTAGAAAATGTATCATTTTATTCTCAAAATACTTACCCGTATAATAAATTTATTAGTCACCAAATTGTCACCGCTTGGAGAATGGCTCAAAACTAAGAGTGGTAATTTTTCGATAGTATCGATTGTGTTAAAAACCATCGATAGTAGACCGAAACCCAAAACCATCGATACTATCGATAGCGTCATCGATAGTTTGACAGCTCTAGTATATTCCAATACATTATATTGGCAATGTGAGAGAGTATATATTTGTTATAATTGAACATGCAAAATAGACTTCCGTTAAAATAAAAAAATAAAAATTAAAGTTATAGACAGATAAAATAATTAGTACAAAAATATTTGCGCTCAAGTAAAAAAAGGCGTAAATATTTAGAGTAAACATTTCCATTTTAAACATAAAACACTTAATTGGGAAACCTAATATTTCAAGTATACAACGAATTTATCTCAGGGACCAAAAATAACTGTTATTTCGAACTTAAAAATTGAAAACGTTGCCCAAATTCTGAAATTTAACGAAAACGTTGTTTCATAACTGTTTAGGCGCGACTGCTAACACCAGGCGCCTAAATGCATGCTATGT